TGCATCTTGGCAGCTGTAACCCTGCACTTTCTCCTCAGGTCATCACGCATGGCCCTCTGTGGGAGGCAGCCACCCTCCATGGTCCAGTCCCCTTTGGACAGCCCAGGTCACTCCCGCCACACTCTCATCCCAGGTTTGGCAAGACAGACTGCCCTCCCCAACCCAGCATCTGCCTTCCCCCGTCCACCACTTGCCGCAGCACAGACTATCCGTGCTCTGCCCTCTGCACTTGCCAGGATACTGCTCACCCTCAGCCTGCCATCTCCTTCTACTACCAGAGCAGACACAGCCCGCTTGTCACCTGCCCCACCTCCAGTATCCATGGCCTCCTCCCTGTGTGCTCCAGGCCAAGCCTCTCCCACTGTGCCCATCACCCAGGAGGCAGAAGCACCCCGTGTCCAATATACCTCAGACAACAGGTACCACCTGTCAGTGTCCCCAGGTGCATGTTAGGTTGCTTCTGGCCCCAGCACAAGGCCATGCACTGCTCTGACTTCGGGGCTGCAGCCACAGTTAGGCTGTCTTCCGCTCAGCCCCAGGGAGAGCCCAGTCACTTGGCGTGTGCCAAGCAGGCAGAGGGTGACCGCAGGTAAGGCAAGAGTTAGAAGGTTGGGGGAGCAGGCCTGCACCTTCACAGTAACGTGTGTACTTAAGAGCTCACTGAGAGACCAGCAACACACTGTTGGCTCACGTCCCAGCACTCGGGGAGGCTAAGGCAGGAGGATCAAAACTGAAGCTCAGCCTGATTCAGCAACTTAGCAAGACCTTGTCCTAAAACAAAATCATTTTAAAGGACAGGGGTCTACAGCTCAGTGGCACAGCGCCTGCCTGGCAAGTACAAGGTCCTGAGTTCAATTCCCAGTTCCAAAAAAATAAAAAATAAAGAAATAAAGGGCTAGAGATCTAGCTCAGTGTAAAGGCCCTGTGTTCAATCCCCAGTACAGGGGAGAGAGAAACAGACAGGCAGGCATGCAGAGCCCACCAACCTAACCATCACCTGCCCTCATGCCCCAACCTTCAAAGGCTACATGGAGAACAGAACAAAGCACATTCAGACCACCAAGGCAGAGCCCCAAAATGCACAGGGCGAACTAAAAGGAGGAACAAGGTCCTGCATGCCCACTTTCACTACTGGAGGGAAAAGACCAACTTAAAGAAATGAACAGCACTACAGCAACCAGATCTAACTCAGGCAGAGAGAACATAGCACCAAACACAAGAACACATGTTTTGCTCCTCAAGGGCACGGAACACGTCTAAGGCAGGACACACCAGGACCACAAAGTGAGGGCCAACAGGTCTGAAAGACGGAGATCAGACAAAGCATTGTCTGTGACCATAACAGATTGAAGCCCAAAAACAACATAAGGAAAACTCACAAATGGGTGGGATTAAACAGCATATTTTTAAAAGAAATTAAAAAGAAAATCAGAAGATACTTTAAGGCCAGGCACGGCAGTACACACTTGTAATCCTAGCATTTGGGAGGCTGAGGCAAGAGGATCACTGTGAATTCAAGGTCATTCTGGGCCACATAGTGAGTTTAAGGCCAGCCTGAACTACATGGCAAGATCTTGTCCCCCCCCACCACCAAAACAAAACAAAACAAAAAAAACTTTAAGATCAAGGTAAATAAAACCAATTAGTTAAGATTTACGGAATGCACACAGGAAATTCACAGCTATGAAGGCCTGCACTATAAAATAAAAAAGATCACAAGAGAGTAATCTAAAGTTATAAGACAAAAGACAAGCAAGGTAAACCCAGAGTAAGAAAAAAATGAAAGAGTGCTGAGGGTTTAGCTCAGTGGTGCAGGGCTTGCCTGGCAAACAAAAGGTCATGAATCCAATCCCTGGTACAAAAAAAAAAAAAAAAAAAAAAGAAAGAAAGAGAGCACAGCAGAGATAAAAGACACAGGAAACCAAAAGGCAGCTCTTCAAAAGGATTAACAAAAGTGACTACTTAACAGCTAAACACCAAGGAAAAAAAGGAGATCAAATTACTACAATCAGAAAAGTAGGGATATCAATTTGGGATTCACAAAAATAAAAAGAACAGTAAGAGAAGACTACAAACAACTGCATATCACCAAGTAAAATAAGCGGGAAGAAACAGACAAATTCCTAGGAATAAAAACACCAAAACTGACTCAAGAAGAAACAGAGAATCTGAAGAGATTTATCTAAAGTAACACAGTCAAATCACCAGTGAGAAGTAAATTTTAAAAATCCAGATGAGAAATGAAAAAGTAAAAACTATCTCTGTCTGCAGACAACCTGGCCTATAGAAAATCTTTAGGATTCCACAAAAGAACTATTAGAGGAATAAGCAAGTTCATCAAGATCGCAAGGCACAGGACCAATATATAAATATCAATTAAATTTCTGAGATAATTATCAGTAAGCAATCAAAATCAAAAGTGAAATTAAGGAAACAATTTAGATACAGTAATATCAAAAATCAAGTATTTAGCAATAAGTTCACTAAATTAGTGAAGTCTTACACACTGAAAATACCATTGAAAATTTTAAGAAAACTACATAAATGGAAAGGTATCCCATATTAACTCCTGAGACAATTGTTTTAAAATGGCAAATCTCATCAAATTGACACACTTATTCATTGCAAACTCTATCAAAATCCCATGTTTTTTTCTGCAAAATTTGAAAGGGCAATTCTAAAACTAACAGAAATTCAAGAGACTCTGAATAACCAAAATAATAGTTAAAAAAGAAAAAGAGGGGCTGGGGATTTAGCTCATTGACATAAGCGCCTGCCTTGCAAGTGCTTGGTCCTGAGTTTGATCCCCGGTACTGATAAAAAGAACAAAATTAAAGGGCACGCTTCTCAACACTTGACCCTTACTTTTCACTCTGTTTAAAAAAAAAATCAAAATGAAAGGGAAGGAAAGTGCTCTAAAGGGTATAATTGTATGTATGTTTAAGTGTATAAGACAGAAGACCATATTACTAAGTTTTTATTTTTGTTGAACAAAATGGTTTGCATTGTCAATGTTTGTCTATCCACTTTTTATGTTTTGATTTTGTAACCTGAACAACTATTTCTAAGAGAACAATATGTAATTTATCAACTAGTGATTTTTTAGTGTTAATTTTTTTAATTCTATATTATTTCTACCCTTTTCTCTGTTTTCTCTTAGTTTTCTTTTTTTCTTTTTTCTTTAAATAAAAAAAAAAAATCAACGCAAAATGGACAGAAGACTTTAAGGAAAGAAGTCTGTGCCACGCAATGGGCCAGGAGAACAAGAAGCCAGCCCTTTCCTGTGAGTCGACACCATGTGTGGGTTGTGGAGAAGAGAACTAGACACGAGCCCCTTCCAGTACACAGGCTGGGAGACAAGAGGAGCCAAGGCCTTACCACCACCATCCTATCTATCACCCCATAAACAGTAGTCTTATCTGGAGAAACACAGGTTGCGATGATAGCTATTGAGGTAAAACACAATTTAATGCTTATAGTGTTTACATTTTGTAGGCCTAAGGCCAGTAGACTGATCATCTATTCACAGGATAACAGTACCTAATATAGCATCTGTCTTTCTAAAGATCATAGTCATTGATAATTATTATCCTGCTTCAAAGTCCTATATCATTTGCATTGCTGTGTTTGGTTTCATTTTATTCTGTTTTGTCTTGATTAATTTTATTATATCTGATGGCATGGGCAGCTATTTAAAAGATAACAAAATATATTATGGTAGCCATTTTGGATTTACTATTGTCTTATTTCCTATATTACATTCATTGTTTTGTTTTTATTGGTCCTATTCTCTCCTGTTTTGTTTGATTTTACTATGTCTGAAGGTATGGGCAGCTATTTTGAAGACACAAAAAGCATTATGGTAGCTACTATTGATTCCCTATTATTTGTTTTGAAATCCTGTATCACACTGTTTTGTTTTGATTAGTTTTATTCTGTTTTAATTTGTTTTATTCTCTTTAAAATAAAATTATTAAAAAAAAATTCTGAAACTACAGGAAGGACATACAGAGGAAACAGTCCCAGACCTTGCTAAAGCTGGATGCTGTGGTGCACATCTGTAATCTTAGCACTGAGAGGCTAAGGCAGGAGGGTTGCAAACTCAAAACTAGTGTGTGCAACTTAGATCTGTCTCAGTATAAAAACTATAAAAAGTGCTGGGGAGGTATCTTGGTGTGAATGCCGAGGGTTCGACTCCCAGTGCAAAAACAACAACCAAAATAAAGACATTGGTATAGCTAACCTCTCATGAGACGCTGTATTATTCCAGCGTCAGGAGGAGCCGTGGAGCGGGGAATGACTGCAGGCCACACAGGGAGATGGCACAGAAGCCTCCATGGCCAGACGGCAGCCAGGATTCAGAGCTCAGGCCTCACCCACAATGCATTGTTCACTCAACCCCTGTGCTTCTTGGCACCAGGCCTGACACTTGCCATCACAGCATCTATAGGCATCCTATGCTGTCCAAGAGGCAGGAGTAACACGGGGCCGAGGTCCTGGTGACAGACTTCCTGCAGATGTGCCACCCACACAGGGTGTGTCACCAATGCAGTACGAAGCCCACAGCATGGCTCCCGAGAATAGCTCCTTCTCAGACTAGCTCCTTCCAAGCCCGGGGCCCAGCTACGGCCAGCGGCCCAGGCTCTGCTACAGAAGCCCCCAAGCCACAAACCACATGTCACCGAGTCACCCAGGGGTAAGGAGGCTGTGTGACACAGAAAAGAGCCTGGCTGGCACCTGCAGACAGTAACTTAAACTCCTAGAGCCACTGTCAGGAGACCAGGCTGGGTCCCACTACAACAGTGGCAGTGGGGGTCATGGGTGCCCAATTGAGCTCTGACGAGGAACTCAACTGTCATCTAGCCTCAGCCCTGGAGAACCTGCAGCCCTACGGTGGTGACAAGCTAACAGGAAAACAAACCCGAGCAACACCTTCACCCACACAGAAACACCTAGCCTGGCCCTCAGCACACCCACACCCACGTCCGTAATAAGCTGACCTGTGACACTCAGGTGGAAGGAGATCTTCTGGCCCCCGGCCTCGCAGCTGTACTCCCCAGCATCAGCCTCTCTCGCCTGTTGCACCACCAGCTGCCGCCTGCAGCCCCTGGCCTCCAAGCACACCCTGGAGCTCGCGCCCAGCTTCTTTCCGTCCTTGAACCACGTCACTTCTGTCTTTGCCTGGGTCACCTCACAGCTCAGCGTGGCACTGGCCCCTGCCTCGGCCTGCACCTCACTGTGTGCTGGCTGCTCCTTAGCAAACACGGCCTTGGCCTCTGGGGACAGATGGGAGACGTGGGATCAGAGCGTTCAGGACATAGAAACCCAAGTGTGAGATTCAGCTTAGCCCAGGTGGAGCCAGTAGACGACAGGAAACACAGACGTGGGCAGCACAAGGGCTGCCTGAGGTTCAGGGTCAGCATATGAGGACCTGAGGCCATGGGCCACACGGAGGGGATGTCCCAGGCCCCACCCAGGGAGAGCAATGGCAAGAAACAAGAAAGAAACACTATGTGACTCTGACACTCTTCATGAGACACTGGGACCAAGGGTGGCATGCAAGATCCATGGGACAGGAGCCACCCAGGCCAAGTCTCACTGTCATGTCCTGGCAAACTCTGGGCCATCACTGCCCAGCAACTGCCTGAGGCCCCTCCTTGCACAGAGATGGAGAGATAAGAACACACCCTGGGCTCCACTCAGTGATAGCACCAACCTGGGGCACAGCACTGATTTCTGACTTTGCCTCACCCCTCAGTGCTCCTCACCAGCCACCACCAAGCAGCTACTAGCTTTGTCCTGCCCCTAGCGCTACACCCGCCCCAAACTTCAGACGAACAGAACCACCCAGGTGCATTGTCCTCTTATGTACTGTATGTGCATGCAAAACTCATTTATAATACACATGCACACAAACTAGTGCTGAAACCCAGGACAATGTAAACAAAAATTTAAATACACCAAGGCAGGCACAACGATACGTGGCTCTAATCACAGCTACTCAAGAGGCTGAGGCAGAAGGATCACAAGTTTGAGGCCAGCCTAGGCAACTAAGATGCACAAGGCCATAGATGAGAACAGCAGCGTCTCAAGCCAGCACAGGACGAAGGTGACAGCACAGGACAGAGCACTCTGTGGGCCACTGTGCCCAGTGCTTGCAGCCCTGTGCCCTGTGATCTGGATGACAAGGCCATGCAGACCAGAGGACTGGAGTGTCTGGGTCTTATTGTGGATTCTGCTATTCCAAACATTTCGTTAGGGTTTTTTGGTCATGAGCTCAACCTACTAAGGTGCTCAGGTTCTTTTTCCTTAACTTTTCTGGCAGTTCTGGTCTTGGGTACAAGGGGGTCACTTAGCTACTAAGCCACTGAGTTTTACAATTTCGATTTTAAAGAACTAAGTTTACTTTTAAGTCCCACCTGCCCTCCCACCTGAGTTTAGCTGTTCCCTGGTGCCCAGTTGTCCATGCTTCAATACCAGACCCATGCCTGCCGCATGCCCTGGACTCCATGCCCAAATTCAACCTCCTGCTGTGTGTGGGAGGTATGTGGGCACCAGGGGTTCCAGCACAGGTGAGATGTGCCCATTCAGAGGCTCAGCCTGCCCTTTTTTTCTTTTAATATTTATTTATTTATTTATTTATTTATTTATTTATTTATTTATTTATGGAGTTACTGAGGATGAACTCAGGCCTCACAAGCTACTCAAGTGCTCTGTCACTGAGTTATATCCTTAGTGCTTTTTTATTTTAGCTTCTGAGACAAGGTTTCACTAAGTTTCCCAGCCTGGCTCTAACTTGCAAGCCTCCTGCCTCAGCCTCCCACAGTGCTAGGATCACAGGCACTGCCTCTACACCTGACTCCATGCACTTCTGATCAAGACCTGATCTGGCCACACCCTGCACTAACCCTTGCTGTGGGCACCTGAATGGTAGAAGGAAGTGGGACTGGCAGGGACACACAGGCCCCATTCACCATCCCTGGCAAACACTGGAGACGGAGGACAGACCCCAGCCACTTCTCCCAGAGTGTGGCATCGGGTCCCACTCCAGCATCCTCTTTTCAAATCCAAGGTGCTTAACTGACTCTTTCTGGGTGGCCACACCCAAGTCCCACACCCACAGTGAAGACCTCAGGGGCATGCGGAGCCTTCTAGAGTGACAAGAACATCCTATCTTGACACTGGCCATGTGTAGTCCACAGTCTCCAAGTCTGCAAGATAAACTGTGGGTCTGTGCAAGTCACACCTCCAATATCGTCTGCTCAAACACCTGGAACCAGTTTCCTGAGTTTTATGACACATGTCATTCTACACACAAGTGAATGTCACACTGGGAAGGCTGAGAGAATCATTGTGAGTTCTAGGCCAGCCTGAACTGCTTAGCAAAATCCTGTCTCAAAACAAAACAAAACAAAACAAAACAACCCTACAGGAACTAAAGACATAGGGAGCCTGTAAACTGGGCTCTGAACCCATGCTTTCCACCCTCCAACTGCTTCCTCTTCCTCAAGGAAGCAGCACCCCTCGTGGGTGGTGACACAGCTCCAGGTGGGTCACCTGACTCACAGCATGAACATACCCTGGGTCCCCTGGAAAATGCCACAGGCCTCATTACTATACCTTGCATGGCTCCTAATTCAACCCTCTATAGTGTGCACATCCTTCTCTTCTAGCATCTGCCAGACAGCACCTTTCCTCAGCCTCTCACTGACGTCTGTTGAAAATTGCTTTTCTACGACAAGAGGCAGTAAATGTGCAAACACTTCACCTTTACAGTGGGTTAGGTCCCTTGAGTCTGTTTTGAGACAGTGTGAGAACCAGTCCAGTGACAGGAAGAGGCCTGAGAGCTCAGCGTCCTGACAAAGAAGGCTACAGAATCCCCTTTGTGAAGTCAAGAGCAAAAGGGAACAGAGGGAGCATGACACTCCAGAGGCCAGGGCTGGGGCTGTCCTGAGCTCCAGGGGACATAGGGCATCTCACAGTAACACCACCCAACTAGATCTTCCAGGTCGCTCCCCAGACTTTTAGCCTAGAGGTCACAGCTTGCAGCAGCATTCCAAGCAGGAGCCATGGAGACATCTCCATCTGAGCCTAGGGGTTGAGGATGAGGCCCCGGCACTTCAGGGCTGAGAGAAACCAGGACTCCATGCAGCCAGCAGAAACCCTGGGGCCCGACACCAATTGCACAACTTTGGCTACAGAACCACAGGTCTCCGGGACCATCATCATGAGCAGGACAAGCACGAGCCACATGGTGACCCTAAGGCACCGTGCACAGCAGTCAGTGTGATTTTCCACATTGAGCCAGGAGTACTGACTGCTCCACTTCAGTCACACAACAAGGGACTATCACAGCTGGGCGAGGGGCACCTAGGGACAAGGAACAGGAGAGTCTTTGTCACTTACACAGCGCCAGCCCCACCACCAAGGGACCCACCTGTGACACGTAGGCGGAAGGAGATCTTCTGGCCCCCGGCCTCACAGCTGTACTCCCCAGCATCTGCCTCTCTCGCCTGTTGCATCACCAGCTGCCGCCTGCAGCCCTTGGCCTCCAAGTGCACCCTGGAGCTCGAGCCTAGCTTCTTCCCGTCCTTGAACCACGTCACTTCTGTCTTTGCCTGGGTCACCTCACAGCTCAGCGTGACACTGGCCCCTGCCTTGGCCTGCACCTCACTGTGCGCCGGCTGCTCCTTGGTGAACATGGCCTTGGGCCCTGGAGACAGATAAGGGACACAGGGTCATCAGCACACCCAGTGCAACTCCTACACCCTGCTTGCTCAGGGGTGACTGTCCCTGAGGTTCAACCTGCACTGTGGGGAGGGGTGCTGAGCCATCCTAGGTGGGCACCTTGTGTGCAAGTGAGGGTTGCAGGGCAGGCTTGAGACATCACCATGATGCCTGTACCAGGCCTACAAGGTTCACTCCCACCTGACTCCTCCCATCTTGGGGCCCACTGTGCACTAAATGACTAAGGCCAATGACACAGTGACTTCCCACATAGCACTATGTCTCTTCCTGCCGTCAGAAAACCAGCCTCCCATAAAAAGATAGCAGAGGCTCCATGGCTGTGGGCTTCACAGCTTTACACGGAAGGTGCATACGTGTCCCCTCAAAAGCATCAGTCAGGCCCCAGTGCACTCAGGAGAGGAGTTGCCCTGACCTCAGGACAGTGCCTGTACCTGCGGCTGTGAGGCACCCACGGCTCTGTCCCCAGCTTCCCAGCAGCACAGCTGACCCTGGAAGCTCCCAGGTCACCAACGGATTCAAAGGAGAATGCCAAGGACACTTCAAACCTGTCCAGCTCCTATCAACCTCAGGGCTCTCATTTTTTTTTCCAGGAATGGAACTCACACCTCACTCACACAGTGCCAGGCAGGCGCTGTACCACTGTGCTATATCCCCAGCTCAGTGACCTAATTTTTAAAAGGAAAAAACAAGCTTCGAAATCATTTTTAACAGGACTTTCCAGTCTGAACACAGCCTGTGAACACAATAAATGAGCCAGCTTCCAGGACCATGAAGCAGCATGGCTGCTGGGACAAAGAGGCAATTGAGTCAGAGACAGAGAAAATGTCCTTCCATAGGAAATAGCTTATGACCACCATTTCTAAATCTTTTTTAACATTTAGACCTTTTATCAATCTGCATATGGTGACAAAAGATATGGTGAATAGTTATTTAAATTTTAAAAGACACATTGCCAGGAATCCTTTTCAAAATCCTCCTCTTTACTTCAAACACAGTCATCCCATCACATCTGCTGCTATCTGCAGAGTCCTGTCTCCTGAGCTCACACGTGTGATAAAAAACGTGGTGAGTGCTGCTACCAAGTCCCATCCCACAGAAAAGCAGCATGTCGCTGTGCCCTCATCCACCTTACTCACTGGACTCCTGGCTCTTCCCCCAAACTTCCAGCGACCAAGAAAGGGAAACATTTCAAATTGATTTAGGACATCGAAGCAGCAGGCACAGAAAAACTAAAGACACTCAAGAAAGAAGACTCTAGAACTGCTTCAAAAAGTGGCAAGAATAGATGAGCTCTCGAAGGGAAGGGAAGTTACTGGCAGTATGCCTTTTGCTGTAATGGATTTTTTACTTAAACACACATAGCATTTCTCAATCACAGATCATGAGTGTTAATTCTACACGTTTTCACAACCAAAAGAGAAACTGCTCCCTGAGTAAAACAAGGTCCAGAAAACTAGTCACAGCATGCTGGATGTAGAACTGTTCTCCACCAAGATACATGTAAATGCACGTGCACGCGCGTGCACACACAACACACACACACACACACACACACACACACACACACACAGACACACAAATTCTCTCACCAGAGACCCGCAGCTGGAAGTCCACAAGAATCCTTGCCCACATGACAAGAATAGGTCCCCTCATCCTGCTTGGTGACAGAGGATGCCACTAAGCGATGCTGTGTGCCCATGTTTTGTGAGAACCTCTGGCAGTCCAGCTCCTTGCCATCCTTGTACCAGCACACACAGACGTGTGCCTCCGAGGTCTCACACTCAAGCTGCACCCGGCCCCCAGTCAAGACATCCACATGGCCACCCACAGTGTCCTTGTGCAGAAAGGACGTGAGAATACAGACAGCCTGTCAGAGAACCCTAAGGCTTTAGCCTGCCAGTGCCAGGCCCAGCGGCCACTCGGACATGGGTCTACCCCCTAGACGGGCCTGCTTGCCCACTAAATCCCGGGCTCAGGACTCCCTCCTTCTCCACCCAGTGGCCACCACAGCAGGACCCTCCATCATCGAGAGTCTGGGCCCACCCCCTGCCTGAGCCCTAGACCCTGCCCGGAACTTCGGACACAGCCAGCAGCGCCATGTGTCCTGGGGGATGCACACCAAGCCCTTCCTTACCCTGCACAGAGAGCTGATAGGCCATGCGGCTCCCTCGGCCTACACACTCGTAGAGGCCTGCATCCTTCTGCGCCACATCATGCACCAGCAGCACCTGCCTCCCGGCCGACGCCCGCATCTCGTACTTGGAGCCAGGGGACAATGCATGGCCGTCCTTCAACCATGTCACAACAACCGCCTGGTCTGACAGCTCAGCCAGCAGCTGCGCCTCCTCGTGCAGCCAGGTCAGCACCTCCTGGGTTGGTGCAGGTGGCAGCGGCTTGTTGGCAGTCAGCCCTGGAGGAGCTAAAGACAGAGGGACCACAGACAACAGAGAAAACAGGAGAGACACAGGCACAGGGGGAGAGGGTGACCAGAGAGACCAGGCCCCAACAGAGAGGGCAATGCACAGGAGAGGAGAGGAGAGAAGAGAGGAGCCAGGAGGGGGATGGAGAGGGCAAGCTGGCCTCGAGGGAGGTGCAGTGATGAGCAAGGGACAGCAGGGTCAGGAACAAGAACATGGAGGGGCCACTGAGGGCAGGGAGAAAAGCAGCTTGACCCCCTCGTCCTGTCCCAGCCCAGGGGAAGTGGCCAGGCACCACCCACCTTGGACAGCCACCCACACACAGCTCTCAATGCCATCGGCCACAAACTTGAGCTATACACCATGCAGGGTGGTGGGCACCCTGCAGATAGTGAGTGAGTGCCAAGTGCGGTCCTGACTGATCAGGAACACGCTGCTTGGCCTTCAGCACCTCCCCATTGAGGAACCACTGGCCGGTGGAGTCCACCATGAGGTCCAAGGAGAAGGTGACCTCGCCACCCTCCTCTGCCTCCAACACCTCCAGGGGCATTCTCATAGCCAGCTGCTGCATTAGGAAGTTGAGCGCGTATGTGGGACACACTGCAGGCAGCTGCAAGCCCCTCAGCTCCCACAGAGGTCCACCCCCAGCTCAAAGCCCACCTACCTAGGTGCACAGTCCCTGGGAACTCCACACAGGGACCCTGGCCAAAACTGTTGACTGCTGACACCCGGAATTGGAAGTCACCCTCCTCAGCCACTCCAGAGACAGTGAGTTCAGGCATGGCCACCCACTCTGTCTGGTGGCACCGGCTCCAGGCGTACGTGCCCAGCCGCCTCCTCTCCACAAAGTAGCCATCGATGTTGACAAGGCGGTCCACAGGGGGTGGAGACCAGCACAGAGTCACAGAGCTCTCCGTCCTGGCTTTCACCATGGGGTCCGTGGGTGGATACAGGGGTGGCCTCCTCGGGACTGGGAGCAGAATGGGCTGTCACCAAGGGAGGCCCTGCCTGGAGTGGCCCAAGGAGGACCGAGAAGAGCACCCACAGCTCTCAGGAACCCTGCGGGATACCACACCCCACCCACATCTGGGAGGCAGGGACTAGGACCCAGACCTGGGAGGCAGGGACGAGGACCCATGATTAAGGCCTCCTGGCAATGGCTAGCCAAGGAAGGGACCATAGCTACAACCAGGACACTGAGGCATCCGAGGAAGGTCAAGGGAAGCCACTGGAGACGATGGCTGGCCCTTACCGGACACACACAACTGGGTGGATGTGCGGGAGCCGCCAGCCACAAAGGCCACCTCGCCCATATCCTCCAGGTTGCACTGGCAGATGGTCAGTGTGTGGCATGAGCCATCTGCACTGATGGCCACGCGGCCACCAGCCACCACCTCCTCCTGGTTCCATAGCCAGCGCACAGGGCCCTCTGGGACAGCCAGCTCCACACAAAAGACAGCTGTGTCCCCCACGCGCACTGCTGTCTTCCTAGGCAGCTTCCGGGTCAAGTTCCCTGGGGAGGACAGCGTGGAGGATGCTGAGCCAGGATCCCTCCAACTGCCCGCTCAATAGGCCTCCAACCAGCTCCGCCCTGCTCTCCCGGTCCCTCCCTGCCCACACCTATAGGCACGCCCTCCTCCTGCTGCCCGACTCCTTGTCCACTCCCTGACCGCCCAACTCTCAATAAGTCCCTCCCCTAACCCCGCCCTGCACCCGTCCCGCATTCGCACCCGCCCCCGCCCCCGCCCCCGCTCCGCTCTGCCCCGCCCCTGCCTTGCACTGCGAGCTCCGCCACTGTGCGGCTGCCCTCTGCCGTCTCGCAGATGTACACAGCGTCGTCGTCGGCTGTGACGTCACGCACGGTCAGCCTGCGCTCAGAGCCCGCCTCCTCAATGCTGTACTTGGCGCTCGCCCACAGCGGTGTCTCCTCTTTGAACCACGTGGCCTTCGTGCTGGGCAGCGGCACCTCGCACTCGAACGTGGCCGAGTCTTTCTCGCGCACTTCCAGGTCGCGCAGCCGCCGCGGGAAGGGCACGGCAGGCTCTGCGGGCACCGGGCGCGGGTAAGAACGAGGACCCCAGGACACCAGGGCGGGGCGGCCACGGAACCTTCCGGGGAAGGGGATGCTAAATGCATGCGGAGGAGACGGGACGGGGTCAGGCGCCGGGTACTGGCAAGGGAAGGCAGTGAGGTGGAAAACGCGCACTTTGCAGACCAGGAGCCTAGAGGCAAGAGCCGCCCCGTCTCGATTCCGTGACCCTCCCCTTACGGGTGGGCTCCCAGACCCCGCCCTGGTGCGGGCGTGGGGCGGTGCCGCTGCGCCCGGCTCACCTCGCACGACTACCAGCACCGAGCTGTAGGTCTGGCCCACGAGGTTGGACGCTGTGCATGTGTACAGCCCGCGGTCCGACTGCTTGCAGAACAGAATCTTAAGTACAAAGTTTTCCTGCGCGTCCTCGTACACCATGTGTCGCCGGCCCTCGATCACCAGCTGCCCGTCCTTCTTCCATACGATATCGGGCTTGGGCTCGCCCGTTACAAAGCAGCTGAGGCGCGCGTGCTTGCCCTCGGTCACCGTGCAGGTGCGCGTGCCCGCGCCAGGCGGCGACGCAGGAGCGCCCTCGGCGCGTATGGCCTCGCGGCGGCGCTGCAAGTGCGCTAACAGCGCGGCCGTGGAGGCCCCGGGCGGCCCGGCGGCCCCGGTGTCTGCATCTACCACAAGCGCGGCAGCGGCGCTCGCGGCGCCCAGTGCGTTCTCGGCGCGCACCTCATAGGTGCCCTCGTCACGTGGCCGCGCCGCCCGGATGCGTAGCTCGCTCTCATCGCCCCGTTCCTCCACACTCACACGCGGGCCGTCAGACGCGCCCAGGTGCCGGCCATCCTTGGCCCAGCTCACGGCGGGCGGCGGGGATCCACGCACGCGGCAGTGGAAGGCGGCGTCGGCACCCTCGCGCACGCGGATGGACGAAGGCCGCAGCAGAAAGTGCGGCGCCTGCTCAGCGCACGCCGCCCCTGCGTCGACCTGCAGCCCCACAGCCGCAAAGGCCTCACCCACAGCGTTGCGCGCTCGGCACACGTACTGACCACCGTCTCCGAGCGCCAGGTCCAGGATGGTGAGGCGGTACACATCTCCGTCCTGTGCCAGATGGAAGCGCGCACCTGCCTTCACAGGCTGCCGGTCTTTTTCCCAGCTCACGTGCGGCGAAGGGTTGCCTATGATCTGGCAGCTCAGCGTGGCGTCCTTGCCCACGGAGACCACAAAAGCCTTGGGCCGCGCGAGGAAACGGGGTGCGCCGCTGAAGGAGGCAGGGTCCATGGCAGGGACCTACGAGCAGGTGTGTAAGAGGTGCGAGCAACCCCCGCGGGGGGGGGGGGGGCAAATCTGTAACGCAAGGAAGTCACCATGCCATGCACTCCCTCCCCAGCATTGGTAGGTGACACCGTGGCCCAGCGGTACAGATGTGCTCTTCCTTGATATTGGGATCATCCTCCTGACAAGGGATTGGCCACTTCCACTCCTGCCCTCCTCCTCCAACTCTTGCCACACCCCAGGCAGTGTCTTGTCTCTTGCACTGTGGGCCACAATTTCAGCTTGGCTATGTGCCTCTCCAAGAGAGAGGTTTGCTGATCCCAGCCCAACCTGGGTACTGGAGGCCCACCCTGCCCACCGGCCTTTCACTGTCTGTTGTGCGTGGTGGCAAGGGCGCTGTCTGCACCAAGCCTCTTCTCAGGGCTTGCCCTTCCTGCAGGGACTCTCTGTTCCATGTGGTTCAACACTCCCTTAACCCTCAAGTGGAACAAGTTCTCCTAACTACACAAGTGTGCCCTCTACCACTCTGCCCCTTCACAGCCTGACCCCTTGGGAGCCAGAGGGTCCCTGGCACTGCAGTTTTAGCTGCAACCCTGACGGTGCAGCTTGGATGGGAGGCCTCAGCCTTCCTGTGGTGCAGAGAGAATGCCAGCTTGTGTATCTCAAGGATAGGTGAGGATTGTGCCTTCCTGCACCAGGTCTCCAGAAGAATGGTGGGCACCCAGGTGCCCTCCCTGCTCCTAGGAGTTGGAGTGCCCAGGCTCACTGTGGTTGTGCAGTGTGTGTGGCTGTGCCCAGCTCCGGGGTTCAGGTACCTAATCCCTTAATCCTTTGCAGAGGGCTGGGCTGTGGCCTCTGCTTGCTGACTCACTGTGCAGTCAGGAGCTCTGTCCTGGCTCTGTGGGGTGGGGACCCCATGTATGAAGCCCTAGCTGGATCTGCTCCCTTCAGGATGCCTAGCATGGCTGCATCTGTTCAGCCATCAGGGACCCTGAGGCCTTTGAGTTCTTAGCACAACTGTGCCAGTCTGCAGGGTCCCCAAAAGCAGGACCTGAGCTAGCCTGCTCACAGACCTGTGGGCACATGTGTGGCAGCCTTTTCACGCACAAGCAGACCTGAGGACAGGGCAACCCACTCCACTGCTCCAGGCCATGTCCCCCCGCAAAACATATTGCCAGGTGGTTGGCAGATCCTTTGGCCAAAGGCTAATCCTCAGCGCTGCCCTGCTGTCTTGCCACCCTCGAGGGGCCAGGAGCTTCTACTTCTGTACACTCCAGGCCTGGAGCCACTCTCGGCCACCTGTATTACAGATCATGACACCGAGGCTCCAGGAGGCCCACCAGAGACATCAGCCCTGTCCTTTGCCACCCTTCTGGGCTGGAGGCCAGGCATTGAGATCCTCAAGAACACTGCAAGAGCCTCCTCAACTGTGGAGCCCGGCCTCCCAGAAAAGCCCTTGTGCCCCCTTGAAGCCCACCTAAGACCTAAGAAGCCCCTTCTCTCTCATAAGTACTCAGAACCCTTAGCCAATAGAACCTCTGTAGCCTCTGCACCCCAACTTCCACAGAGCTTTCCAACACTGCTGGTGCCACAAGAGGTCCAGCTGTTTGCCAGGAAGAGCCTGGAATAGGGGCCTAGGACCCTACCCCCAAGACCCTCCAGGATGTCTGTGCCTCACCTTGGACCCCTGGCTGTCAGTGTCTCCACTCGGGAAATTCTTTCCTGGAGTCAGATGTCCCTGCCCCTCTGGCTGTCCCCTCTGCTGAGCCATGGGCCCAAAATAGCCCCAGCTGTCAGCAGGCATCTATCTCAGCAGTGCTGGGGGCAGGGCTGCAGGACCCTCAAGCAGCCCCAGCCAAGGACAGATTGGGGACAGGCAGCCCCTGCCTGCCTGCCAGGACTGAAGGCCCGAGCTGGAATCCAGCCCCTTTTCCTCCCAAAGCAAGGCACATGTGAACCCCACAGAGCCATGATCTTTAGCCATACAGCCCAAACCCTGTGACCTCATACCACCTCCCCTCCTCACCTTCTCCATGGGGACTCACGGGGAGCTGGGTGGCAGGGGCAGCAGGGACCGCTGGGTCTGCCTGTCTTCCTAGGCCCAGGAGCAACACGACTTCCACCCAGCAACCCACACTCTGGCCGGGGACTGCACAGGGACGAAAGGACAGGCAGGCTGTCAGATGGAGAGGGCTGGGCCCGCCCCTGACCAGCCCAGCCCAGCTCAGCTCCAAAATAGCCCACAAGTCAGTGTCTGGGATTGAGTTTCACCCTGGTCCCAGGGAGGCAAAGGTCGGAAGGGTCAAGGGACAGCCCATATTCTTCCAGCAGCAACAGGGGCAGAGGATAGGCCCAGCCCAACCGTACCCTATAGCTTCCTAGAACCAGTCAGAGGATTGGGGTACCAGCACAGCTCACTGGGAGCCCAGTGTGACTGTGATAGCTCTGGGCCACCCCAAGGGGACCAGTACCACTCACAGGGATTGCCCAGCCCTGGTCCTGGCTGCAGGTTGTTCCCAAGCCACCCCTAAGACTCGGTCCAGCAAGAGCCCAGGGTAGAAGGTGGGAGGTGGATGCAGACAGCACACAGCCCAGCCCCTAATTCCCAACCCAGGGGCAAGCGGATTGGACACTGCACATGCACTTGAGAAGAGGTTGCCTGGGGCCTGGCAGCCACCACTAAAGAGGCACTGCCTGGGGGTCATCCTAGGAGGCCATCACACTGCAGAACCAGGCCTGACAGTGGCAGGAATGTGGCTCGGCTACTACAGGGAAACAAAGCCAGAACCCCAAGCTGCAAGAGGGTATGGGAGAGGATGTCCCCAGGAGTTTCAGGTCCACACCCTGCACCAGCACCATGACTCTGTCTCTATGGTGATATCTTCCAGGTGGCACACAGCCCACATCACTGGATTCACACAGCAGAAGGGGTGAGACTCTTGTGGGGTCCCCATCTGTGAGGCCCCTGTCCAACACCATGCCTGGGGGAGAACACCAAGGAGGAAGAAAAGATGGGGAAGAAAAAGCCAAGCCCAGCAACAAGATGGGGCCACTGTAGGAGCCTGCGTGGGGATAGTATGAGCATACATCTGCATGTATGTGAACAGCATGTGTGGCTATGTGTGTGTGTGCTCATGGGTGCATAGATGTTCATGCATGAATATCTACATATACATATGCATAATATGCAGCTTCCTGCCCATGCTACATGTGTGTGAGCACGCACATTTGTAGATGTATGGATGGCATGAGTGCTGAGGTGTGAGTGCCTACACGTGTGTGCATAGCTATGGGCACATCCCGAATGGGTGAGGGCAGTCAAGGGAGAACCCCACCCTTCTGGGACCAAGACCACAGCAAGCAGAGGGCATCCATGGTGGCAGCTGCCAATGGGTTCACAGGGAAATATGGACTCCTCTGTGCCCACCGGAGCCCCTGGGCTCCTACCCATTCACAGCACAACAGCATCTCCTTTGCCTGCTTCCTTCACTTCTCAACCTGTGAGCTTTTAGGGCTCTCCTGTGTTGTCTGTACCCCAGCAGTGGCTTTCTTATCCTTCACTATTTTTTATCGTAAATACAGACAGTCATTATATGTATTCATGGACTGCTGTGTGAGGGTGCAATGTTTTCTTGAAGAAAGGGTGTCAGTCATGGAGAGTTCTGAAGGCTGCATCACCCTGGACTCCTGGGTGTCTTCATGCCACAAGGGCTGTGGGACGTGGCACCCACTAGGGTCCTTTGGTGACCGTGCTGGGATCCTGCACAGGATGAAAGACTGTTTCAAGAGGCTACATAGCAGAAAAGGCAGCAGGGACACCAGAAGAATAGGCAGAGGTTTGATCTGAGCCTTTGGAGCACAGTTCTCACAGGATACTAGCATGGGCAGCAACATGGTACATTTTCAGATCCTTCCAAAATCTGCTTGGGGCAGGGGGCTGTTATTTAGCTCAGCGGCATAAGCACCTGCCTTACAAGCTCCCAGTCATGAGTTTGATCCCCGATATCCCCCAAAACAAAAATCTAAAACAAAATCTGCTTGGGATGAAGGGGCCTTGAGTCCAGGGCTGCAGACAGGTCCAAGTCCACAAAAAAGGAGCTGCAATACTGAGAGTCACACCCTGCCACAAGGAACACAGGAGGGGCAGGAGAGACACAGTGGCCAGGACATAGGAGGACCTGGAAGGAATCCCAGGTGAGAGAGAACACGGAACCCACGGAAACGTGTGCAGTTCCCCAGAGACCATGTGCAGAGACAGCCACCCTCCTCCACTCCCTGCAAGTGCTACCTCCTCAAGCCCAGCATCTTCTGTGCTCATTTAGTAGTTCCTCTTTGGTACCCTTTTCAGGGTTCTTGGTTTTGTGCTGTGTTGTTTCCCAACTCAACCCACCCCAGCCTTGAAACATTCAGATTTCTCCCTCATCTGGCAGTGACATTGTAATGATCCCTCATTCCATGTCACTTGTCTCTCTCTGTAGACTTTTATGGAGACAACCACAGCAGGGCATGCATGAGTTTTTGCAGCTATGAAACTGAATCCATGTGCCCTTCTCCAACCTGCAGTCTGCCCCATCTCTGTGCACTCAGCTAGCTTTGTGTCTTTCCCTGCTCAGCATTCCACCGACTGCCATGTCCTGCAGCTCCTCCACAGTCTTAACAACAGGGCTCCTGTTGAAGTGAAAAGGTTTTCCATGTGTATGTGCAGGTGGGCCTCACATCCATGAGTTCTCACCTGTGAGAGCAATCAATTCAAAAGTGATTATTTTTGGCGCTCAATCTGAAATGACGCAGAGAAAATGCAAGAGATAAGAAGGAGACAAAGTATAGAGAGAGACCTTTAATGCAGGCACAGGAGAAAGCCACACACTGAGAATGTGGTAGCTCTCTCACTGGACAAAGGGATAGAAGTTGCTTATATCAATTATCTTTTGATGGATTTGGTCAGTTGACAGTAATGAATTAGTGCTACATGTTAGTATGTGCAGGTTGGGAATTGGGGAATCTTTGGCACATGTAGGAAGAAAGGACAGGGAGTCTGGCTTGGATCAAAAAGTCTAATAAGGTGTTTTTTTGTAGTTTTTTCACCATATTGGGCCTCCACCATGACTAGGCAGAGCCATATGGGGAAAAACCTATCAAAAAGTATTCACAATATACTGCACCTGAGTGCATGCAGACCTTTGCTTTGTGTCATTCACTAAGCATGCATCAGAACTCTTTTGCAGCGTTTGCATTTTAGTTAGTATTGTAGAGCTGATGTAAAGTATGTGGTAGGGCTTGAGCCAGTTCTATGCAAATACCAGGTCATTTTCTGCCAGGAACCTGACTGCCCCTGGTTTTGGCAGCCACAGGGGATCCTGGAACTATGATTCACCCATTCATGTGTTGATGAGTTCCTGGTTGCTCCCATTTATTTCTTGGCTGGTGAGAACATGGAGTGCAGACATCTGCTCAGCACACAACTCACGTCCTTTGCATAGATGCCCAGCAGTGGGGCTGCTGTGTCCTAACCTAATTCTGTTTTCAATTCTTTAAGAACTGAGAAAATGTGGTTTGAAGGGAACAAAGCTTGATTACAATGTGAGCAATTGTGGGGCTCCAGCACACACTGCTGGTCTGTGGTTAACAACACTGCACTGAGTAAAAAAAAAACAATGATTCACTGTGCCCACTGGCTCTCCAAGGAGAGAGATGATTGTATTTGTCAGCCTGACTGATGATTTCTGAAAATGTGTGAGCATCAAATCAATGTCTTGGACACCTGCAAGGTATATGCCCTGTATTCAGAGGTTGTACATCAGGAGCACTAAAGGGGACTGAAAGAAAGTGACTTTGCAGAGAGAGAACCCAAAGTCAGCCCCACGGTTTCCAAAAGATGATGTCATATACAGCCCCATCTAGACACATCAGGAGCGGCACAGACATCGTCCTGGATGTCTGTGAGGAAATCGTGTCCAGCACTCACCAGGCTTCTAGACACACTCAGCGAATGCACACTGTAGGGGCTTTTAGCATACAGGCCCTTTCCCAACAGGGTCTTGGGAGAGGTTCCCACACCGCCTTACCATCTGCTTCAGCTGCAGAGACAGCTCAGAGTTCACATCAGTTGCCTACACACCTACCACAGGCCATGTACAAACCAGTTCTCCCTGGACAGTTGAGGATAAGCAGGGAGATGTAACAGTGAAACATGTGTCACTCGCCAAAAGAGTCCTGGCTGATAGGGAAGACATGAGGGGAAACAGGTGAAATCCAAATAAACATGAATTTAAAAATGTGAAAGAGCCATTTTCAATCTGGGAAACTCAGCTGCCGGCTGGAGTGAGTCCTGTGCTCCATCCTGAGCCCCAAGAGAGTTTAAGATCATCACTCCCAGTGGTAGAGGACCTGCCCAGATTCCAGCCACAGTAGACTAGCCTTGGAAGGTTTTGCAGCCGACTGGATTATGCCCAGCGACCTTCTTCAATCAGGGGAGTTGAGGGCATGTGAAGTGAGTTCCAGGGCATTGGCCCTTGCCTGGGCAGAGCTTTGGACCATCATCCACAGTGGTTACATGCCCACCCAGTGTCCTAAAACACTGTAGGTGGCACAAGTGGGCATTCAGTCCCAGGAGCCTAGGGCATAGGAGATTTTCAACATGCCCAGGGGAAGCCTTGGAACAACACATGAAACATGGAAATAGAGGAAAATGACAAAATGAAAGACCAAAATACTCAAACCACCAGCCCATCCCAAGAAAGTCTAGGAGCCATGTACATAGAAGAAAATATATGCCATACA